AATCTATAACAAAGGAGGTTTGGTAGAACTCTGAAAGGGCCATAGGTCAGGACATATACATATAATATACTTATACTGATAATTATGCTTCTTGTCTAAAATACCCACAATCATGACCATCCACTTGCATCAAATTATTCTCTCTTTATTTTCTCTCTTCCTAACTTACTTTGGAAGGATTATATAGCAGAACATTTTTTTCTTCTTTCCCTTCCCTCCCTTTGGTCCCTTTCCTCTCCTCTACTGATCTCCCTTGGATTTTCCTGAGCACCTCCCCGTCAACTGTCACACCTTTCATTTTCTTTTTCCACTCCAATTTGCACATATGAAAGAAAACGTAAGACCCTTGACTTTCTGAATCTGGCTTATTTCGATTAACATAATGATTTCAAGTACATAGGAATGCATTTGTGAAAGTTCCTTTATTAGGTGATTCCTTCTGGGAAGGGCAATAAGTCAAAAGCAAGGACACTTGTTAGCTCTTGGAAACTTGCAAAACTTCAGAGCATGAGATATCACAACTGGGCAGGAACACCTAAGGACTCAGATGGCAGCAGGTTTCTGGGACTCTAAAACTGCAATAAAAGGGATAAAACCTGCAATCAGGTAGCTCCCAGGAGTGGCCCAGGGCAAAATGCATCTCCTAATTTTCTTTAGTCATTTTTAGATTAAACCATATTCCCTCAGTAAGTTACAATATAATTTGAATAGCACAGCTATATCTTAACCCGAATTGCTAGCACATTCTGAAACATTATAAACAACAGGCTGATATTTAGAGAAGGGGTAAGAACACACAGCCAAAAAGGCATTCCAATATAAACTCCACTGAGATGAAAGACAACAATAACAATTAACAATATTTTCTACTTATAATGTTTATCTACATTAACTACATAAGAGTCTCCCAAATAATTAATACCTAGGAATTTCAGAAAAAAAACACTACAGGATGCTAGTGATCAACAAATCATACGGGAATCCAAAACTTGTCCATCAATTTAGATTAATAAAGTTTATCTTCTTTATTTCATCTTCAGTGACAAGCAACTTATAAAACTTTGATAATTCAAAAACTTATGTTTATTTTTCTAAGAGACATGAAATGTGGACCTATGGAGAAATCCTTTCTCCTCTGTAGAATTAGATCTTTCTATTCTAGCTCATTTTCTTTCCTAGCTCTGCACATGCAATCCAAAACTTCCCTGTTAATCAGTCTTCATCAGAGCCCTTTTCCTTCTGACTTAAAAAATCAATCATTGTCCCAAAGCTTGAATTTAGAAAAGATCATCCTAGATATGGCAACCTCCATCTACTCAACTATTTCTCACCTTTCATTGCAGTTCTGTGATCCAGGCCAGTTCTCCAATATCTAGTATTTTCCATTCTGCAATTTACTTTCTTGGACCAAATTCCCCCTGATCAATGTTTTGGATAGGATGCAGCACCAGGGAATTGTGCCATGGCTAGAAGCTGAAGGGAAGTCTTGTGAACTCTTGTTTCATGTCCTGCATTCTGTATTCACTCTAACCATCCTGCTAGAGTGGTGGTTCTGATGACTGTCTTCTGGAACCTTATCATATTTGACTTCTGGGAGATTCTGATTCTCCTTTTATATTTTGGCCTGCTCTTTTCACAATCTTCATCAGTATGATTTTCTCCCTTGTCCCTTGATTTTGGGGTGTTTTGCAACTCAGTCTTTTACTATCTGTTCTTTTCCCAAGACACCTAAGCCCCTAGAAGTGATCTCCATATGGTTTCAACCCTTATTAACTATCTCTGAATTTTCATTTGTTCTCAAATCTGACCCGTGCCAGAGTAATGTCAGAGGGGACATGTTAAGGACACAGATGCTGGGGTCTCATTCAAGGAGTACAGAATCAGAACCTCTGGGCATAAGGTCAAGAAATCAATGTTTCAAGAATCTCCTCAGTTATCTCTGATAAAACCAGTCTGCCCATGGACAGTGAAGACCACTAGCCTATACCTTGAATTACCAGAATATCTCCATCAACTAGAACTGAACTCTTCTTCACATCCACAGAAATTTTTATGCTTTATTATCAGGATTGCCATTTTTAACTCACACATACAACTTGACAAATGTGCTAGACTTTGGAGTCTCCTTTATGCCTTTAGCAAACAGTTATCCCATCTTACCTATACTTCTTGGCAACATACCTCAGAGTCAAGCCCCTCCATCAACCCCCACTGACCACCAACCTCATTCTTCACTCCTTCTTATTTCCTTGGCTTCTCACTGGGTCCTCATGCCAGCCTTTCTTTTCCAACATAATCCATGAGGTGCCATGGCAACATCGAAAGAGCTACAGAGTCACCAGTCATGAAAGAAAATCTCAGAATCACCTTTTACTATCTGTATGACCTTAGGAAAGCAAATACAATTATTAAAGGTCCAGTTTTCTGAGCTCTAAAGATTAACAATGCTGTGGGACACATCATAAGTGCTCTCCTGGATGGTTGAAATTTTTATTGCTTTTATTATTACTCTGTGTATCATAATCAGACTCATCTTCCTTTACCATGCCATTTCTCTGCTGAAGATCCATACATTGCATCATTCATTCTAAAATACAGAATAGTTACCTTCTCTGATGGTGAGCTAGCAACTTGATCCTTCTGTGCCTCTATTTCATCGCCTATAAAATGTGGGTTAAGAATATGGCAGAGCGCTTGCCTAGCATGTGTGAGGCACTGGGTTTGATCCTTAGCACTACAT